CAAGATGAAAGACTAGAGTCAGGGAGATAGCATAAAGCCATAGCAAAATGTGTAGAGTTGTAGGAAACCAGCTTTAAAACTGTAAAATGTTCTCTTCACACCATGGCAAAATGTCTAGAAATTGCCGGATATTACATTTTAAAATAGCAACATGTTGTGTGTGCGGCCAAGAGGAGAGCCTCTAAAATGTTCGGCCGGAGACTGCGCCATTGCACCCCCCGGTAGGTGGACGTGACTAGTGTTTTGGTATTCCATCCACGTAGCCTAGTGGTTTCCAGTCTATTCTGTCTCCATCCATGTCAAGTACTATATGTAATAACCTAAATATGTGTAGTCTTTTACATCATAGTCCCAAACCGTAGTTTCTCTATGCAGCAGCACAGCCAACACGCGGGTCAGAAACCAGGGTCCTGGCAGACGTGCAGAGCAGACTGACTGATCCCACCACCTTATCTATATGTGGTCTAGAAATAGCCTCTGGACTCTAAGACAGATGCCTGGGCCTTGTGAACCTTCTCACTATTATCACTCTGAGAACTGAGTCAGCCCTGCACGGGATTATGGGGGTTTTCTATCCATTCCTTTAATTTTTGGACCACAGTATTGAAAGGTCCAGTGCATCTGTTTTTATCTCAATATCAAATCATTTCTGGGTAACGATCAAGTACCTTACTGTGTTTTCAATTAAAATGGTTAAAAAAATAAACAAAAATATCTTCTTAGCAGAGAGCAATTTCCCAAGCAAGAATTTTGCTAGGACTGTCTGGCAGTGGTCTGAGTTGGGAAGGGGAAAACTGAAAACGAGCTGTTATTGGCAGATCATTTTTTTCCTTATTGGTCTATTAACTAATTTACCGCCTGGTGCTGTCACCAGGCAGGCCGAAACTCCATCCCACCAAAACGGGCTGAAATTTCAGGCAATCTTTTCAAACAGCTGCGTGTTTCACGCTCAACAGTTTCCCGTGTGTATCAAGAATGGTCCACCACCCAAAGGACATCCAGCAAATTTAACACAACTGTGGGAAGCATTGGGGTCAACATGGGCCAGCATCCCTGTGGAACGCTTTTGACACCTTGTAGAGTCCATGCCCTGACGAATTGAGGCTGTTCTGAGGGCAAAAGGGAGTGCAACTAGGACTGTTGCGGTGACCGTATTACCGCCACACTGGCAGGCCATTAGTCATGACCGCAGTAAAATTCCACGTGACCAATGAGTCACGGTAATCTCCTGTTTTGCACTCTGGGCATGCTTTGGTAGCACCCAACTTGCTAACGACCATCAGGTCCTAATGACCTGGTACTCAGGGCTCTATTGTCCCTCTAACCACTCTGACATCAATGCAAATGCAATCTAAAATCACATCAAACACAGTATCATGCTTTTAAAACTCACCTCACTGCGATGATCAATTTGAAGAAAGAAGTTCAACAGCAGGTTGAAACTGAGTGGAAAACATGGTCATTGTGGATGTTGTTTCAAAGCTTAACACAATGAAATGGACAGCACTTTTTCAGAACAACCATACGCATCTAGAGCTTATATATATATATTATATTATATTATTTTTTTTTATTTTTTTGTCATTTAGCAGATGCTCTTATCCAGATCGACTTACAGTTAGTGAGTGCATACACAAATTTTTTTTCTTTCATACCCCTGTGGGATGTGCATAGGCTTATGGGCCCAAGCCTGGAAAAACCTGAATTAAAATGATTTTGCTGTTATACAATACATAGCCTACCACATATTACGCACTGGCAGAAAAACATAAAACAAAACTGATTTAAGATGTCTTTGGTACATAATTGGTCTAGCCTATACTCCAAAATTAAACACATTTGAGTAATCACCTTAGTGTGGACTGTATTATTATGCATACTGGATGGAGTGGTTAGCTACGCTCCAACATTTCTATCCAAGAGTCTGGGAGAGAACGTATAGGCCTAGGCGATGCTGTTGGTTCATTGATTGTGCAGGGCGGCTTACAGTTAGTCAGCAATTATAGTGAATTTGTATTTGATTTGGAAAAACCAAGTAATAGGATTTAAAAAAATATATTTTCATAATTAATTGAGTGACACTTTACCTTTTTAGCTATACAGAATATCTCATCACCGTGCGTTCCCATCTCCTCCTCTCTCTCCTTTATTCCTTTCTCGAGTGTGCAGATGGGCTGTCAACAGTTTAGTGAAATATGTTTAGTTGTGAAAACGTTACTATCGATGGTCCAGAACAGATTTCACCTGGTTTCCCAAATGAAGTACTGGGTAGCTGCAGGGACAGGGTTGGGGAGCCCATGGCATACGGAGTACTGGGTAGCTGCAGGGACAGGGTTGGGGAGCCCATGGCATACGGAGTACTGGGTAGCTGCAGGGACAGGGTTGGGGAGCCCATGGCATACGGAGTACTGGGTGGAATATCACCCTGAAACAGTGGTTGATGTTTGGAGTGAAATAAGTGCTCTTATATTTCTTTCTCAGCTGCTCATATTAAGCACAGGCTCCGCTATAAAATCGAAGTAGTCTACAAAATGAACTGACTGGAAAGCCTCCATTCGCTATTGTAGTACATACGGATTACATGTATTTTTTTTCCCCCCTGATCCTGTCCATTTGATAATGGGCCGTTCAAAATCTAAACTAATTTAACATATTAATAAAGTCAAGATTACATTGAGAATAGTCTGATGGGTTTAAAATGTGATCATTTGATGAGAGAACAGCTGTGCAGCCTGAGGCAAGGAACCGAGAGCCAGCTTTTTTTTTTGTGACTTTCTCAACTCAATAGCCTGTAGTCTCATCGTGCAGCCCATAGATGTTTTGATTATAAGGTTTGTATCATTCACAACTAAAGTTGCCAAATAACTCTAAATCTAGTTTATAGGATCTGTTTCAAATGATCACTTTTACAACATACAGTAGCCACTTCATATGCGCACTCGCTCCAGAATGGGGAAAAATATCCTTTCTATTTTATTCAGCTGAGTTCAATTATACTTCTTCTTACTATAAAATCATATAATATAAAATAATGGCACAGAACTTTATAAAGCATATCAAACTAAACCGGAATCCACAAACAATGTCACTACAGTTCTTACAATGACGGTTGTGGGTTTGTGGCATCTTGTTTGATTTCTCACTGGCTGCTACACTCTAGTGTGAGGCAAGTGGGGGATACAAGTTGTGTTTCCGTGGTGACTGGCTGCTACGCTGTTCTAGGGGGTTTTGTTTATATTCTCATCACAGGATCTCTTCTCTGTAGCGCCCAAGCCTGACTGAAGACCTAAGAGCTCCACTCTGCACCAAGGGCTCTACGTAAAAGCCACACCACGCAGAGGTTGGAAGAGGTAAGTCCTTCATACTGCAAGGCAATGAATGGAAATGTTGTTCTGAACAGTTTACTCTGCATTTATTTCGCCTCCCATCCCTTACCTCAGTTAGTCAACTGCCATGATGTGATATGTATTATTGATGTCTGGAGTGTTGACTGAATTGGTCCACTGTGTGTGGGTTAGACTGTGGAGTGTTGACTGAATTGGTCCACTGTGTGTGGGTTAGATTCTGGCGTGTTGACTGAATTGGTCCACTGTGTGTGGGTTAGATTCTGGAGTGTTGACTGAATTGGTCCACTCTGTGTGGGTTAGATTCTGGCGTGTTGACTGAATTGGTCCACTGTGTGTGGGTTAGATTCTGGCGTGTTGACTGAATTGGTCCTCTGTGTGTGGGTTAGACTCTGGAGTGTTGACTGAATTGGTCCACTGTGTGTGGGTTAGATTCTGGCGTGTTGACTGAATTGGTCCTCTGTGTGTGGGTTAGACTCTGGAGTGTTGACTGAATTGGTCCTCTGTGTGTGGGTTAGACTGTGGAGTGTTGACTGAATTGGTCCTCTGTGTGTGGGTTAGACTCTGGAGTGTTGACTGAATTGGTCCTCTGTGTGTGGGTTAGACTCTGGAGTGTTGACTGAATTGGTCCTCTGTGTGTGGGTTAGACTGTGGAGTGTTGACTGAATTGGTCCTTTGTGTGGGTTAGACTGACTTTTTCCTTTTAGACAAGGCTCCCAAGGCCCCCCATGCATAAATGTGCGTCATTGTAGGTTCCCCAACTTCCTCTCGTGGAAGGGCTACCGTTATGCGAGATCAGTTTGGGCTGAGGTGCTGGGGATCGATTTTCCCTGCCCACTCCTCTGTTCATTCTACCAGGTGTAAGACAATGAAACTTGGTGTGTGTGTGTGGCCTGCTGGCTGCACAAAAATGTTTGGGAACCACTCACTCTTTGCCTACTTACCCCACTCTATGACCTCTCCTCTCCCCAGCCAGAACCTACTGTGTTGGCCTACTAACTAACCCACCTTGGCTCTATCCTCTCCTCAGCCAGACCTACCTAAGCAACCCACCTTAGTGACCTCTCCTCAGCCAGACCTACCTACCAACCCACCTCAGTGACCTCGCCTCCCCTCTCCTCAGCCAGACCTACCTACCAACCCACCTCAGTGACCTCTCCTCCCCTCTCCTCAGCTAGACCTACCTACCAACCCACCTCAGTGACCTCGCCTCCCCTCTCCTCAGCCAGACCTACCTACCAACCCACCTCAGTGACCTCTCCTCCCCTCAGCCAGACCTACCTACCAACCCACCTCAGTGACCTCGCCTCCCCTCTCCTCAGCTAGACCTACCTACCAACCCACCTCAGTGACCTCTCCTCCCCTCTCCTCAGCTAGACCTACCTACCAACCCACCTCAGTGACCTCTCCTCCCCTCTCCTCAGCCAGACCTACCTACCAACCCACCTCAGTGACCTCTCCTCCCCTCAGCCAGAGCTGCTAACTAACCCACTTTGCTCTCTTCCTGTTCCCCAGCCGTAACCCAGCCAGTGGAAGGGTCGTCATCATCATCATCATCATCATCATGACCCAGAGTCCCGTCCATGGCTGCTCTGTCTGTGTGGCCCAGCTGACGGTCTTCCTGGCCCTGGCCCTGCTGCTGTGTCCCCTGGGGAGAGCACTAGGAGAAGACCAGGCTTCTCCGGCCCAGGTGCTGCAGGACCTGCTGGAGCGATATGGGGACAATGCCACCATCTCTGTCCCCCAGCTCCGCTCTCTGCTGGCCCGACTCAGTGCACCTGGCCAGGGGGACAACGCCACCGCAGCACAGGGGACAGCTCCACCGCCGCCGCCCAGAGTCAACCTGTCCAAAGTATGTATATTTAAATACATATTTATATCTGTTTTTGTAAAATTAAAATAAGTGACATCCCTATATCCAGTCCGTCTTGCTTCCACTTTCACCCAAATAGCTGGGACAGTGTTTCCTCTGGAGAAAGAAAATGCCTTGTTTTGCGGGTCCGTGTCCCCCGGATAATTTTTATGTAGAAGGACTAAGAATCTCAGTTTTGGTTACTTTTTAAAAGGACATTCTATTCCAACATGAATGAAAATACAATTATGCTGACACCATCTAAAATATAATTTCCACCTCCAGATATGAGCCAAATAACAACATATTGGTACAGTTATTATTTGTTAATTATTTTTAACATATTGGACCATGCATACAACCTAGCTATGTATGCATGGTCCATATTATCGGGTATGCTATTAGCAATAAGCATTATCAGCCCAACTGATGCAGCATATTGGCTATAAATAAATAGGCTATTACTAAAATGATTACCCTATTGGGCTAATCATTTGCCAGATTCCAAATGTGGTCTTTCAACTAGTTGGCATACATTTTAATCATATCAATAGTGTTTCTTTAGACCTGACTAAAATAAGTAATGGATTTATTGTGATGGTGTATATTTAAATAGATTTTTTTTTTAGTGATAAAAAAAATAAATGTAGATGTTCCAAAGGCTCGCATCAGTGGCTTGTATACAGCTAAATGACCACAGCGGAAGCTAAATGACCACAGCGGAAGCTAAATGACCACAGCGGAAGCTAAATGACCACAGCGGAAGCTAAATGACCACAGCGGAAGCTAAATGACCACAGCGGAAGCTAAATGACCACAGCGGAAGCTAAATGACCACAGCGGAAGCTAAATGACCACAGAGGAAGCTAAATGACCCCAGCGGAAGCTAAATGACCACAGCTGAAACACTGAGATGGGATGCTTGATATTCTTACCGGGCTTTAATGCCAGGTAGTTGACTCACTAGTTGTGGCTTCTCTTCATGTTAGAGAGAGCTGTGTGTTCGTGGTCGTGTCCCGTGTCCCTGAGCTAAGGGAATGAGTTTACCTTTTTTTCCCAGAGTTTGTGTGCTCAAGGAATGGAACCTTCCATAGACCAGTTCCATCATATCTATATGGATAACTTAATCTCACTTTAGTTTTCCATGAAGGGAAAACATAATGTCCCTTATCAGATAGTAAATGATTAGGGTCTGTCTGAGGTCGGAGGTGGTTTCTTTTTGTGGTCTGTGTGTGTGTGTGTGTGTGTGTGTGTCAGTGACTGATTGCGTGTTTCCCTCCACAGTGCTTACCTGGAGACACCCTGGCAGTGTACAGTATGAGCGAGCAGTCTCGTCTGGATGGGCGTGGCCTACAGGAGCTCTGCCCCACAATGCTACAGCAATTGGACTCGGGTGCCTGTGGGGTGGAGAAAGAGCTGGAGCTTATCAAAGACCCACCTTCCAAACCCACTGCTGCTGAAGGTGAGCCTCTCAACTCATATATTCTTTCATAATATATTTGCAGTGTTTCCCCTAGGATTTTTTTTGCGTAGGGGGGATGCCAATGGCACAGTCTCTGACTGAACATTTTTGTGACCGTCCTCAATTTTAAAAAGTAAATTTCCTGCATTTCTACACATTTTGCCTTTGGGTCTGAGGGAAAATATGCAGCTTGAAAGTGTTTTTTTTTTGTGTGTGCAATTCTACACATTTTGCCATGGCTTATGCTGTGTTGTTACGCTGTCTGACTCAAACATAACAAAATCAATGAGGGACCCATGCCATTTTGGGAATTTTAGATTCTCCCTGACTAGTTTCTATTTAGGTAATTGTTACCTCTCAAAGATGATCTTATAAAATATATAAATACCTCCATTTATCTTTTCGTCATACTTTATATCAGTTTTCTTTTTGTCTTTGGGAGTAGCGGCAACAATTGCTGCTAAATGAATATCAACACTGATTTACTATAGCCTACCTACGTCAGGGGTACGCTAATAGTCAGCCGCAGGACGATTTATTTTGAAGCTCATTTTTAGCTGAATTCCTGATAGTTTTAGTGTTTTCAGTCCTCAGTAAAGTAATTCCACAATTCACCATTGCTTTGGTCTGAGCATGCAGTTGCAGTGTACTGCTGTGCTGCAATCTACACATTGCCATGCTTATCAGTGTTAGTACACTTTGACTCAACATGAACATAAATCAATAGGTGCCATTTTGGGATTGTTATGTCTAGACTTTTCTTAGGTAATTTTCCATTAGAACTATAAAATTCAAATACCTCTATCTCTCAACTTAATTGTCCGTTGGTGGGGTTATGAATATAGACTTTACTGCACTAGGAGGGTTAGCAATAGTGCCGCAGAGATTTAGGTTCTGAACCTCAATAGCTGATCAAGTGTTAGCTGTTTTCTCCAGCATTCAACATCTTGTACTTCCTGGTCCACTTTAGCACAGAACAGCCATTATTAGAACGCCACTGTCAGCAGATTCTAGGTACAGAATCCTCTTAGCAGGTACAAATAATACATTAAGGCACCACCATCTTGGATCCGTCTGGCTCACACTGCCCGCAGCTTCTCAGACTGCTGACATCAGAGGTTGGCAGGCCATGTAACTGGATGTCCTTGTTATTACTCTGGAAGCCATTTTAGCATCTGGTTCTAATCTATGTGCTTGTGTTGTGGATGTATGTGGGCTGCAGCGTACGCTTTTGTACAGGCTGTTTTTAGGGTATATTTTAGTTTTATAACATACAAACAAGAACAGTAGCTACTAGCTAGTTCTCATCAGAGCCCAGTCTAAATTGTCCCTGGTGTAGGTGGTGGGTATAAAAAGACTGTTAATGACAGGCTTGGAGAATGTAGTAAACTAGTGTGATCCTCGCACTGGGCCACTGCACCTAGAATTACAGGACATAGAAAAGGACATTGGAACTCGCTGTACAAAGTCATGAGGATTTTAGAGCCGTGTCAGGTTCTACATATTCTGTTTATGTGGTCTACAGCACTTGTGGTGTGTTTAGAAACCAAAGTCAAGAATGTTGATATGCCTTGCCTCCATCTCTATACCAGCTAACAGTTGTTCTAGTTGCAATTTGCAAAGATTCTAACACATGAACTGACAATGCTGGAAGAGAACGCTGTACTGTGATTGTCTTGATGTTGTTTAAGAAGATGTTTAAAAACCTCTCACTGTTTATGGTATTTGCCCCTTTCTGTGTCATAATTTCTGGCAGGAGAAGCATTGATACAGCATGTGTTTTGGCCAGAGATATATTTTCACTCTCATCTTCCATTAATGCCTAGAGCGCTCTCCCCAGTGCAGTCCTGGGTTCAAATAGTATTTGAAATCTACTGTGTTTGCTTAAGCCAAACCTGGTGTGGTAGGTGGCATGGTTTGCACTTTTGAAACGATTCCATTGGCTCTGTTGCGGCAGGCAAGCTCAATCACAGCTAAAGTATATTTAAAGATTTCGAATGCTATTTGAACCCAGGTCTGGGACATGGTATTTGGCCAGCCGTGACTCGGGCTGAGGTGTCTCGATGTAACCCAGTTGCTAGCTGCTGCAGTGGGGGCAGAGTGAGGTCAGTTCAATGTGTCCCATTGCCCTCCTTTTACAAGTCTCTGTTCATGAAATGGCCTCCTCCTCTGTTTTGCTCCAAGATTTGTGCTTGTCCCATTTTGTTTTGGATTTCAAGCACTGTATTTCAAGATGACTGATTCCTATTGTGACAATGTGTGTTCGTTTTGCAGAGGGAAGGAGGGTAGGCGGGTTTGGTCCGTCCTTCAAATGTTTCCCTCTTCTTTGCAGGTCACACTATAATGCTAAGGAGGACTGTCCTTTCAAGTGTTTACACTGCAGTAGTCTCTTCTCCTTGTTTGCATAGCACTGGAATGAGTTGCCTCTGCCCATAAAAACTACATCCTCTCTGGGGGAGCTTTAAAAAATTAAGTAAAAAAACGGTTTGATGTCTTCTGTGCCCATTTGAATGTACCTTACGATGTAACTGCACTGATGAGATAGATGTTCTTCTTCTTTGTTTTTATGTTGTATTATCTCTCTGTCATACTGTGTTCCACCATGTTGGCTCTTGTCTCAAGACCACAATGGAAATACGTCTCAGGATTTAATGTGTGTTATCCTCCATGATTTACTCATGTGCGTCTATGGCTTTTTTTTGTATGTGTGCTTGTTTTTTTTGTTTTTAAATGGTCGAATTTAATAATAAACTAAACTCTTCTTACAGACCGTGTGTCACTTCTGCAATCCACACCACAACCAAAGTTGCCACGTCTTCCTCTCTCCCACAGGGTACAGGTGCTTTTTGTGTGCTGAAAGGATCAGAGAGGAAACTCTTTAACCGTTCATTTACCAAACATTACAGTGGTTTTATGCTCAACACCACCGCAATGTAGGCTACATGTCGACTGCACCTACCACAATGTCACTGATCCCATCTTACTTCCCTTTCCACAGATTCCCTTTCCCTTCCTTACCGCCCTGTGATATCTCCCCTTCACAGATGTCATATATATATATATACAGTGGGGGAAAAAAATTTATTTAGTCAGCCACCAATTGTGCAAGTTCTCCCACTTAAAAAGATGAGAGAGGCCTGTAATTTTCATCATATGTACACGTCAACTATGACAGACAAATTGAGAACAAAAAATCCAGAAAATCACATTGTAGGATTTTTAATGAATTTATTTGCAAATTATGGTGGAAAATAAGTATTTGGTCACCTACAAACAAGCAATATTTCTGGCTCTCACAGACCTGTAACTTCTTCTTTAAGAGGCTCCTCTGTCCTCCACTCGTTATCTGTATTAATGGCACCTGTTTGAACTTGTTATCAGTATAAAAGACACCTGTCCACAACCTCAAACAGTCACACTCCAAAGTCCACTATGGCCAAGACCAAAGAGCTGTCAAAGGACACCAGAAACAAAATTGTAGACCTGCACCAGGCTGGGAAGACTGAATCTGCAATAGGTAAGCAGCTTGGTTTGAAGAAATCAACTGTGGGAGCAATTATTAGGAAATGGAAGACATACAAGACCACTTGTAATCTCCCTCGATCTGGGGCTCCACGCAAGATCTCACCCCGTGGGGTCAAAATGATCACAAGAACGGTGAGCAAAAATCCCAGAACCACACGGGGGGACCTAGTGAATGACCTGCAGAGAGCTGGGACCAAAGTAACAAAGCCTACCATCAGTAACACACTACGCCGCCAGGGACTCAAATCCTGCAGTGCCAGACGTGTCCCCCTGCTTAAGCCAGTACATGTCCAGGCCCGTCTGAAGTTTGCTAGAGTGCATTTGGATGATCCAGAAGAGGATTGGGAGAATGTCATATGGTCAGATGAAACCAAAATATAACTTTTTGGTAAAAACTCAACTCGTCGTGTTTGGAGGACAAAGAATGCTGAGTTGCATCCAAAGAACACCATACCTACTGTGAAGCATGGGGGTGGAAACATCATGCTTTGGGGCTGTTTTTCTGCAAAGGGACCAGGACGACTGATCCGTGTAAAGGAAAGAATGAATGGGGCCATGTATCATGAGATTTTGAGTGAAAACCTCCTTCCATCAGCAAGGGCATTGAAGATGAAACATGGCTGGGTCTTTCAATGATCCCAAACACACCACCCGGGCAACGAAGGAGTGGCTTCGTAAGAAGCATTTCAAGGTCCTGGAGTGGCCTAGCCAGTCTCCAGATCTCAACCCCATAGAAAATCTTTGGAGGGAGTTGAAAGTCCGTGTTGCCCAGCGACAGCCCCAAAACATCACTGCTCTAGAGGAGATCTGCATGGAGGAATGGGCCAAAATACCAGCAACAGTGTGTGAAAACCTTGTGAAGACTTACAGAAAACATTTGACCTGTGTCATTGCCAACAAAGGGTATATAACAAAGTATTGAGAAACTTTTGTTATTGACCAAATACTTATTTTCCACCATAATTTGCAAATAAATTCATTAAAAAATCCTACAATGTGATTTTCAGGGGTTTTTTTCTTCTCATTTTGTCTGTCATAGTTGACGTGTACCTATGATGAAAATTACAGGCCTCATCTTTTTAAGTGGGAGAACTTGCACAATTGGTGGCTGACTAAATACTTATTTTTCCCCACTGTACATATCCTTCATATCTATGATGTCATTGTTTTTCCTTTCCTCCCTGTTCTTCATGTGATCATTACTGCTCCTGCAGTCACAGTCCTCTGTGATCATTGTCACAGCACACAGAGTAATTCTCATATTACACAAACAGCATGTGTGTTTTAGTGTTCACTTCAAACCCCCTCTTTGCTGTATTGTGTGCCTCCTCTCCTCCCTCCTCCTCCCATCACAGTGTGGGGTTTCTCCTTTCTGAGTGTGACCCTGGTCAGTGCCTTCTCTCTCACCGGTGTGTTCCTGGTTCCCCTCATGAGGACGAGTCACATGCGCCGGGCGCTCATCTATTTCATCGCCCTCTCCATCGGAACTCTCTACTCCACCGCTGTGTTCCAGATGCTGCCAGAGGTGCGGTATCCATCAATCCTCCTTCCCCTCCCTCTCTATATATATTCCCTTAACAACAATGCCCCACCGACCACAGCACTCTCAATTCTTCACTTCCTTCTGGGCATTTCCTCCTTTCTCTCTCTTCCCTCCCTTCCTGGGGTTGTAATTAGCAGCTTGGGAATTGTCGTGTTCAACCGACCAGCGGTCATCAAAGAGCTACTGTGATTCTACGGTTGCCTCAGTGGTTTTCTCTGCCACTGGAATTCTGGATGGATTGTTTTCTCTCTCTCTCTGTCTGTTATCTGTGTGTGAGTCTACATGGGCTGGTCTGTCTACTCTTCATTCTTCACTGGCTGTGGAATATATGCAATCTGTGAGACTGGTTCTCCTTGGAGAGAGGCTGGCTGACTTGCTGGCTGGCTGACTTGCTGGTTGGCTGGCTGACTTGCTGGCTGGCTAGCTGACTTGCTGGCTGGCTGGCTGGCTTGCTGGCTGGCTGGCTGGCTTGCTGGCTGGCTGGCTGGCTGGCTGGCTGGCTGGCTGGCTGGCTGGCTGGCTGGCTGGCTTGCTGGTTGGCTGGCTGACTTGCTGGCTGGCTAGCTGACTTGCTGGCTGGCTGGCTGGCTTGCTGGCTGGCTGGCTGGCTTGCTGGCTGGCTGGCTGGCTGGCTGGCTGGCTGGCTGGCTTGCTGGCTGGCTGGCTGGCTGACTTGCTGGTTGGCTGGCTGACTTGCTGGCTGGCTAGCTGACTTGCTGGCTGGCTGGCTGGCTTGCTGGCTGGCTGGCTGGCTTGCTGGCTGGCTGGCTGGCTGGCTTGCTGGCTGGCTGGCTGACTTGCTGGCTGGCTGGCTGAACAGTGCCTCTAACCTCACCTCAGGGAAACCAGACCAAGTGGGTATTTGCTGCTCCCAATGTCCCACAATTTTACCCCCTTTCTCAAAATACTATTGGTGAATATTACAATTTAAGGCATAAAAAGCAAGGTGCCATTATAAAGTCCCTTAGTTGATGAGTAACCTCTACAAGAGACAATAAATGCTTTCTAGCTTCCCCCTCTATTCAGGCAGCGTGACTGTTTAGTGTCTGTCTGCAGTGAGCCAGAGGCGACAGGAGCTCAGATCATGCCCAGGGGCTGCTGGCAGCTAGCTAGTGGAGTGGTTCAGAGCAGACACACACCTGGCCTGAAAGACAATGGTGTGTGTGTGTGTGTATCTCTAGCTACCCTGTCCCTATCTTTCTCTGGTTTTATCTGATCAGTGTTGCGTACTCCCTAATTTCCACCTGTATTGTGTGACGGCTCCAGCTCAAAGCACCAGTGGTTCCAGACTGCATCATAAAGGCCTGAGGATTCTGCTTCCTCTGATCTGTGACGACATCATTATCTCCCGCTCCTCTTAATCACAGGCTGTTTGGGGTTAGAACACTGGTCTGATGGGAAACAAATCATGGTGTCTCCTCATCATACAGTGATCACACACACACACACACACACACACACACGCACAGGTCTGTGAATGGACATTGATTGTGAATAGACAGTCAGTGTCGATTGATTGGGCATTTCCTGTTCTCCGGGAACAGCACTAAGGGTGATGTGATTCTTTTCTTCAGGGCTGACATCTACTGGTGTTATCCTCCGGTTAATCCTTCTACTGGGAAAAATAATATCTTTAATGATTTCATGATAATCTTCCCCTTTTTCTGTCCTTTTTCCTCTTCTTTTTGGTCCCCCTTCCCTCTCACCCCTCTTTCTCTCTCCCCCCCTCCCCCCTGGTCGTGGTCAGTTTGGGGTTACGGGTTCCTATGCGTGACCATCATCTCTCTGTGTTCGCTGGTTGGGGCCAGTGTGGTCCCCTTCATGAGGAAAACCTTTTACAAGCGCCTGCTCCTCTACTTCATAGCCCTGGCCATTGGCACCCTCTACTCCAACGCCCTGTTTCAGCTCATCCCAGAGGTAGTGTGAAGGGCATGCTATTCACTACATAGTGCACTACTTTAGCACCCTTTCCCTTAATTAGTGAACAACTTCGGAAACCTATTCCCTATGTAGTGAAATATTTTTAGCGACCTATTCCCTCTTAGTGCACTACGTTTGGCACCCTATTCCCTATATAGTGCACTACGTTTGGCACCCTATTCCCTATATAGTGCACTACGTTTGGCACCCTATTCCCTATATAGTGCACTACGTTTGGCACCCTATTCACCTTTATAGTGCACTACGTTTGGCTGAGGCTATGGCCGAAAGTAGTGCACTATATAGGAAATCGGATGTGGTCCACTACCTCAGTTGTTCCCCCCCTTCAAGCAGCCCTCAGCCAAAATGGAACCAAATGAAACCAGACTAACTACAGTCATGCCTGGCCCATAGATTTAATTAGGTGAACCATCCACTTAATTAACAGTATATCACTTTATTGACCCCAAATGTGATTCTGAAAAGCAGACCCTTTGAGCTGCTGGTGGGCCTTGCCTCTCTGAGGGCCTGGAAAGGGGAAGCACTGAGGAAAATAGCATTTGTTGCTTTAGGCTGTTCTTAGATGGAATAGAAATTCACCTCATCCACATGGGTCCATTTTGCACCAGAAAGCTAATCACATATCAGTTATCACATGACACCAAACCAACATAGCAGAGAGGAGTTGGCTGAAAAGCACTACCATATTTGGAACCGGGCCACAGTAGTTTACCTTTAGCCGACAAATAGCCCAAGGTGTTAGCCAATGTGCTGATGTGCCATTCAAAGATTTTACAGTGAAATGTAGATACAATGTCTGCCTTTTTTTTAAAAAATGCTTGAAGCAGTATTTTGCCATTTTAATAGTGCTCTCTAATTAGTGATTTTATTGGTGATGTTTATAACAGTAGCCTATCTCTTAGCCTCTTATTGTGTCCTTGAGGAGAGAAACTGGCTAGCGTTCATAATGTACTGTCCTTCCAGACAGCCAGCCAGTGATTGTTATGTCTCTGCCCCATAGTCTCAATAAGATATCAGGGAGAATTGACTTAACACTTGACTTCTTGAGATTAGTTGGCACCTAGTATTGTTCACATACCATTTATAAAAGAACAGTCTGTCAGTGTGAAGTTAAAGTTGTTTGGTATTACCAATCCTTTTTATTTTTCATTCCCAATGCCAAACACATACAGTAGGTCAAAAACCTTGATATAGAGTGAGACAATAGCGCCTCATTCACCAGCCATTTACATTTTTTTGTCATTTAGCAGACGCTCTTATCCAGAGCGACTTAGTTAGTGAGTGCATACATTTTTCATACTGGTCCCCCCCGTGGGAATCGAACCCACAACCCTGGGGTTGCAAGCCGCCATGCTCTACCAACTGAGCTACACGGGACATAACTGACATGTTCAGCTTGAATTGTGCGGAATCGTGACAGAGACATAATTGATACTTCCAATGTAATAGGGCCCTACCTAGTTCAGTCAAGCCAATGACGGTTTTTACACAAATCCTTTCACAGTCAAATGTAATACCCTGTTATTAACCAATTTGACGGATGCCTTTTTAGTTAACTGTGTATATTGTCCTCCTAGGCGTTTGGTTTTGACCCCATGGTGGACAACTATGTGTCTAAGTCCACGGTGGTGTTTGGAGGGTTCTACCTGTTCTTCTTCACGGAGAAAGTCCTCAAGATGCTGCTCAGACCCAAGGATAAGGTGAGTCCACGTTTCAACAACCCTTTTTGCTGGTATTTGCTTTGGGTACAGCAAATTAACTGACTGAAAAATGCACAAGGATGACAAACATGGGATTCGTCATTTCTTTCACCCTGTCACGATCGTCGTAGAAAGTGGACCAAGGCGCAGCGTGATGAACGAACATATTTATTTATATAATGAATGCACGAACAAAACGAAAACGTGACGTCCTACGGTAACACAACCCAAACGGAACAAGATCCCACAAACACGAATGGAAAACAGACTGTTTAAATATGGTTCCCAATCAGAGACAACCAGCCACAGCTGACACTCGTTGCCTCTGATTGAGAACCACACTGGCCAACATAGAAATAGAACACATAGACCTACAACACAGAACTAGAATACATAGAATCTACACACCCTGGCTCAACATATAGAGTCCCCAGAGCCAGGGTGTGACACACCCGATCTTTTTTGCATGGTTTAAGGGGTTTCGTTTTCCCTGTTGCGAACACATTGAGTGTTTCCTTTCCCTCAGTGGCTAATATGTGAACCCATTGGGATTGATCAGAAATCAGAAAAGTGTTATGTACTGCACATGCATTATATAACCCTATACACATGACCCTATACACCTGACCCTATTGTAGTGTCTCACTTATAACACATTTACATTTACGTCATTTAGCAGATGCTCTTATCCAGAGCGACTTACAGTTAGTGACTGCATACACATTTTTTGTAATATTTTTAAAAAAAAATTATAATGTATACTGGCCCCCTGTGGGAATCGAACCCACAACCCTGGCGTTGCAAACGCCATGCTCTACCAACTGAGCCACACGGGACTAACACCTTTGGCAAGTTGAATCCGGTGTGCTAGTGTTGGAATTGAACAAATGTGAAATGACTGGTATTCCTTCTTCCAAGAAGACGGAAGGTTGAGAAATACTGTTCTGTAGCACGGCTCTATGATGCTCATAAACATCCACTAGTCTCAACCAGGGCTTTTCACACACAGATAAGCATCCGCTCTTTAGATGGAGTGGAGAGATATTACAGTATGCATTGTGAACATGCGAAAAAAATTACATCAGTCAAGTCCGGTTTAGTTTGTGTAACAGGGCGTTGTTTTTCTGAACAGTAAAGTTTCACCTGTAGGCTTGGACTGAAACAGGTGTGTAATGTAGCATTGGCTTAATGACTCTCTGGGATGATGACGTCAGTCTTTTTGCTTTGTGTGGTGTAGAAGGGAGGAGGGCCATACTTGGATGTGAGTCAATGTCATATGAGGCTCATTTATAATTACACGTGTACTTAAGACGGACTGAAGTGAAGTAGACACCTGCACCACAAGTTCACATACAGCGCCTTCAGGAAGTATTCACATCCCTGGACTTTTTCCACATTTTGTTGTTACAGCCTGAATTTAAAATGTTTTAAATATAGATTATATATAGAAAAGCATGCATCACAACGTTGATCATTTGCACAATTTCTCTCATTCACTTTCGCTTGTAAATGTCCACACTCACCGAAAATGACATTCAGTAGCTACAAGTTATGCTTGTATAACTTTATGAACTGGATTTGCTTGTCTTTGCAATTTAGTTTGTTCGTTTTTGCTCGTTAGCATTTTGCTAACGGCGTTTGTGTGACTTCCTAACTCGGTTGCTGGAGAGGAAGGAAACTGCTCAGGGATTTCACCATGAGGCCAATGGTGACTTTAAAACGGTTAGAGTTTAATGGCTGTGATAGGAGAACTGAGGATGGATCAACAACATTGTAGTTACTCCAGAATACTAACCTAATTGACAGAGTGAAAAGAAGGAAGCCTGTACAGAATACAAATATTACAAAACATGCATCCTGTTTTGCAACAAGGCACTAAAGTAAAACTGCGAAAAATACGGAATGGAGCTAAGCACAGGCAAAATCCTAGAGGAAAACCTGGTTCAGTCTGCTTTCCACCAGACACTGGGAGATGAATTCACCTTTCAGCAGGACAATAACCTAAAACACAAGGCCAAATCTACACTGGAGTTGCTTACCAAGAAGACAGTGAATTTACCTGAATGGCCGAGCTACAGTTTTGATTTAAATCTATTTGAAAATCTATGGCAAGACCTGAAAATGGTTGTCTAGCAATGATCAACAACCAATTTGACAGAGCTTGAAGAATGTTGAAAAGAATAATGGGCAAATGTTGCACAATCCAGGTGTGGAAAGCTCTTAGAGACTTACCCAGAAAGACTCGCAGCTGGAATCGCTGCCACAGGGAAATGGTCAAATTCATGCACTTATCAAGAGAACAGGTGGTCCTCCCTACTGCCTCTGGCGGACTCACTAAACATAAATGCATCTTTTGTAAATGATGTCTGAGTGTTGGAGTGTGTCCCTGGCTATCCATACATTTAAAAAACAAGACAATGGTGCGGGCTGCTTTGCCCCTTTACCCCTACCTACATGTACATATTATCTCCATTACCTCGACTAACCTGTTCCCCGGCACATTGACTCGGTACCTGTACATACTGTAGCCTCGTTATTGTTGTTTTATTGTGTTACTTTAGTTAGTAAATATTTTCTTAACTCTATTTTTCTTAACTGCATTGTTGGTTAACGGTTATGAAAGCATTTCACATTAAGGTCTGCACCGGTTTTATTCAGTGCATGTGACAAATACATTTTGATTTGATTCATATAAGGAATTTTAAATTAGTTATACTTTACTTTTGATACTTAAGTATATTTGAGAAATTAATTTACTTTTGATACTTAAGTACATTTAAAACCAAATACTTTTAGACTTTTACTCAAGTAGTATTTTACTGGCTGACTTTTACTTGAGTAACTTTCTGTTAAGGTATGTATACTTTTACTCAAGTATGACAGTTGGGTAGTTTTCCCACCACTGGAGAAATGCTTCACATTGTTTAGTGTGGAAGAATGGCATCTAAGACACGTACAGTAGTCACTGATGATAAATGAGAATGCCATCCAGGAAAGAAACCAGTTTGATTTGGAGTGGCAGTGTGAACTCTGCCTTTAACAATATGCTTCACATTGTTTACTTGTGGGGAAAATGGCATCAACCAAGCCATGAAAATGAGAAGGTAGAGTAGAGACATGAAAGAACACTTTACTACCAACACTGGACATGTCTCTGTAGCCCAGGGAAAGTTCCGGGAAGGTAGAATAGCTATGTTAGCATCAGTGGATTTTGAAATCTTAGCTATGCTAGTATCAGTGGATAGTTTAGTGGTTGATGAGATGTCTGTTTTTTATTTTATGTATTGATATGACCCAGAGTAACCCCTTGATGTAGTACTGTATAATAATATGCCATCTGCCTTTCATGTCTCTTGTTGACATTGTTTGAGGTGATGCTTCCTCCTAGTGGACATTCAGCATAGTGCAGTTTTGAGCCATATGGTTTAGACCTTATGGTACAGCCAAGCCAATGTAATACCTTAACTAACACTGGTCTGGTGTGGCCTCTTAAGCCAATTATATAGTCTACTTGACCCAACTGAAAGCTGTGATTTAACACAGTCTGACAGTAACGCAGTAATACTTTAAATAACGATGTTTATTCACTGAAACTATCTGTTAACTGAGGAGAAATCCTTCATGCAATCTATCTATATTATATCCCTGCCATTTCCTGGTGGGAAATACTTTTCATGTGACTTGACTTCTGATTCCCTTGCTAACGGTTCTTTCTCTCTCTCTCTCTCTCTCTCTCTCTCCCCCCCCCCCCTCTCTCCAGGGCCATGACCACAGCAATTTCCCAGCCTCAGAGCAGCTGTACGCTGCAGCCAACGGCGACATGGAGGAGGGCGTGACAGAGAAGCTGCAGCAGAGTGGAGAGGCGGGCCTTAACCTGCCCAAGGTGGACGGAGGAGAGGGGGACCGCATGCTCACCCCCGCACTGACCCCACCAGTGAGACACACCCCCGCACTGACCCAACCAGTGAGACACACCCCCTCACTGACCCCACCAGTGAGACACACCCCCTCACTGACCCCACCAGTGAGACACACCCCCTCACTGACCCCACCAGTGAGACACACCCCCTCACTGACCCCACCAGTGAGACACACCCCCGCAGTGAGACACACCCCCTCACTGACCCAACCAGTGAGACACACCCCCTCACTGACCCAACCAGTGAAACACACCCCCGCAGTGAGACACACCCCCTCACTGACCCAACCAGTGAGACACACCCCCTCACTGACCCCACCAGTGAGACACACCCCCTCACTGACCCCACCAGTGAGACACACCCCCTCACTGACCCCACCAGTGAGACACACCCCCTCACTGACCCCACCAGTGAGACACACCCCCTCACTGACCCAACCAGTGAAACACACCCCCTCACTGACCCAACCAGTGAACACACCCTCACTGACCCCCCCCCCACCCCCCTCACTGACCCCACCAGTGAGACACACCCCCTCACTGACCCCACCAGTGAGACACACCCCCTCACTGACCCCACCAGTGAGACACACCCCCTCACTGACCCAACCAGTGAGACACACCCCCTCACTGACCCAACCAGTGAAACACACCCCCTCACTGACCCCACCAGTGAGACACACCCCCGCAGTGAGACACACCCCCTCACTGACCCAACCAGTGAAACACACCCCCTCACTGACCCAACCAGTGAGACACACCCCCGCAGTGAGACACACCCCCTCACTGACCCAACCGGTGAGACCATTTTACAGTGAGGGGAAAAAAGTATTTGATCCCCTGCTGATTTTGTACGTTTGCCCACTGACAAAGACATGATCAGTCTATCATTTTAATGGTAGGTTTATTTGAACAGTGAGAGACAGAATAACAACAACAAAATCCAGAAAAACGCATGTCAAAAATGTTACAAATTGATTTGCATTTTCATGAGGGAAATAAGTATTTGACCCCCTCTCAATCAGAAAGATTTCTGGCTCCCAGGTGTCTTTTATACAGGTAACGAGCTGAGATTAGGAGCAAACTCTTAAAGGGGGTGCTCCTAATCTCAGCTGGCTACCTGTATAAAAGACACCTGTCCACAGAAGCAATCAATCAATCAAACTCTCCACCATGGCCAAGACCAAAGAGCTCTCCAAGGATGTCAGGGACAAGATTGTAGACCTACACAAGGCTGGAATGGGCTACAAGACCATCGCCAAGCAGCTTGGTTAGAAGGTGACAACAGTTGGTGCGATTATTCGCAAATGAAAGAAACACAATGGGATCAGTGGACTCAATAGGCTGAGTGAATGAGGAGCGGATGTCGTCAACCTTCTTTTCAAAGTGGTTGATAAAATCGTCCGCAGAGAGGAAGGGTGTGGAGGACACTCACACTCACCCCCCCGCACTGACCCCCACCGGAGAGAGAGACACTACCCCCCCACCCCCCCGCACTGACCCCACCGGAGAGAGAGAGCGAGAGAGAGAGAGACTCACCCCCGCACTGACCCCCACCAGTGAGAGTAAACACACTCACCCCCACATTGACCCCCACCGGGTTAGAGAGACCCCCACCAGTGAGACACACACATACACTCACCCCCACATTGACCCCACCGGAGAGAGGGAGAGAGAGAGAGAGACACTCACCCCCGCATTGACCCCACCAGTGAGAGGACAAACCTAATAGAGCTGGGCGATATGGACAAAACTTCATATGGCAATAAATGTAACTATTTTGCGCTAATGATAAATACAACGATTACAGTTAGGCCTACTTTCCATTAGCGGCAGGGATTTTTTTTCCAGTGCCAAGTATGAGATGGTATAGCCTATGATAAAAAAATAAAATAAAACTTTCATATAACGTGTCCAGGGAATGCATGATTTTATATGTTGATGTGCAACCGGTCAAAATAGGATCCAGAACGATCAGATTTATTTTAGTCTCTTCAGAGATGAATTTTCTGACATCGTTGTACGTAGGACTATTGGTCTAGGCTATATAATTCACCACCTGAGGAAGTGGGAACCCAAAACACTAGATTGATAACTCGGAATATGGTATTGTTGCTAGATAGCAATGTAGGCTAAATGATTAATCTATCAGTAAATGTAATGTCCTACAAAACTTTCCAGTACTAGACCTTGGCTACTTGATGTAGGCCTATTCACTGCAAATGGCGTGCGCAGCTCAGCTAGTCGTGCTATGAACTCAATATTGAAATAAATTGTATACTCCCAGAAAGCTGCGACTCTCCTCTCTCTGTAACTAGAACAACAATAGTTGCTTTTAGAACTGTATTTTTCCCTGCAATTGCATTTTGAGAAAGTAATATGCTTTGCTTATCAAAATGCATCTCTCCCTCTCCTCACAGTGGGGAAGGGGAGGGAGAGTGGCTCGCTCATATAGCAGCCTACAGCGAAACAGGGACAGGCTCATACTTTCATAGCAGGAGTCAACATAATGGATAGGCTATTACTGTTGACCAAATAATGGTTTTACAACAAAGAAATCTGCAGGAACGTTGTGTAGCAAAATCACAGAAAATTACCAACCCTAAGCAAAATGCTTCGGTAAGAGGAGGGGGAATGTCGGTCATTTTCGGTTTATTGTCCCAGCTCTAAAACACACCCCAGCACGTACCCCACCGGTCACACAGACTCACTCACGCATACACTCACGCCCGTACCGACCCCACCGGTGAGAGACGCTCACATACCGTCCATCCCTCCCTCACACCTCTCCTCTTCTCCAACAGGACTCTCAGAGCCTGGGCGGAGGGAACAGCAGAGGAGGCTGCTATTGGCTGAAGGGCACAGCGTACTCTGACATCGGCACGCTGGCCTGGATGATCACGTTGAGCGACGGGCTCCATAACTTCATCGACGGCCTGGCCATCGGCGCTTCCTTCACTGCCTCAACGTTCCAGGGCATCAGCACCTCCGTGGCCATACTCTGTGAGGAGTTTCCCCATGAGCTGGGTGAGTTTTCAAGGGTTACAGTCTAATGAAGGGGTGAGTCCAGCACCCCAAAAACAAAAAAAATCTAGGATGAATTAATGTTTTATATGTTTGGGATTATAACTGGGCTTATGTGAATCCAGCACTCTTCCACCTATCCAAGCAATATCTGTCTGACTGTGCTGATATTGTCCTCACCCCTCGCTCTCTCGCTCTCTCGCTCTCGCTCGACCTCTCTCTCTACCTCTCTCTCTCTCTACCTCTCTCTCTCTCTACCTCTCTCTCTCTCTCTCTCTCTCTATCTCTCTCTTTACTTCTCTCTCTCTACTTCTCTCTCTCTCTTTACTTCTCTCCAGGAGACTTTGTGATCTTGTTGAACGCTGGGATGAGCATCCAGCAGGCTCTGTTCTTTAACTTCCTGTCTGCCTGCTGCTGCTACCTGGGCATGGGCTTTGGCATCCTGGCAGGAAACAGCTTCTCACCTCAATGGGTCTTTGCCCTGGCAGGGGGCATGTTCCTCTACATCGCCCTGGCAGACATGGTGAGAGAGGGGATGGACGTGGAGGGGTGGACAAGGGCGGGGTTGGTCCGGTGGAGTGAGGGGTGTGAGTGGGGGGGGGTGCGTGCGTGCGTCTCTCTCTGTGTGGGTCTGTCTGTGTATCTACTGAGAATGGATATAGAGCACAACATTGACCATTTACCCATCCAGTGTTATTTCTAAGGATAACTGTGTGGGCAATAAGGAACTGACCTGCTCCCCCCCTCCTTCTCTCCCTAGTTCCCAGAGATGAACGAGGTGAGTCGTGAGGAGGAGGAGGCGGGGGGCAGCAGCTTCCTTGTGACCTTCATCATCCAGAACGCAGGCCTCCTAACCGGCTTCGCCATCATGCTGCTACTCACCACCTACTCTGGAGCCATCACTATAGACTAGCATTAACACTCACACAACTACACCCTACCGGTTTCAACCAGATCCAACCGCTTATAACTGGAATGATTCCCTTTGGAGCTGAAAGGGAATGCCTGGCCCTCCCTCCCCAGGCTCCCTCTCTCCCTCTCAGGCCCCATTTTGCCCTGAATTCCCGGGGCTTCGGTTCTAGTGCGGAAGGAACGCACATTATAAGACTTAAGTTCTCAAAACACTTTCATAAGCAGTTCCCACATGCAGTAGCTACTAGTACACTGGCAGGGGTACCCCCCTCCCTCATTTCTCTCGGGCCTTCTCTCCCCCCTAGTACACTGGCAGGGGTACCCGCCCTCCCTGATCTCTCTTGGGCCTTCTCTGACCCCTACTCCCTCATCTCTCTTGGGCTTTCTCTGACCCCTACTCCCTAATTTCTCTTGGGCCTTCTCTCCCCCCTAGTACACTGGCAGGGGTACCCCCCTCCCTCATCACTCTTGGGCCTTCTCTCCCCCCCTAGTACACTGGCAGGGGTACCCCCTTCCTCATCACTCTTGGGCCTTCTCTCCCCCCCTCCCTCATCTCTCTTGGGCTTTCTCTGACCCCTACTCCCTTTCTCTGACCCCTACTCCCTTTCTCTGACCCCTACTCCCTTTCTCTGACCCCTACTCCCTTTCTCTGACCCCTAGCTGACTAGCCCCCCCTTCTGTTCTATGCCACCTGCAGGGACCGGTACAAGCCATAGTCAGGGGGCAGGACAACCATATTATCTCCTATGCTGATGACCAACAGACATGCAATATCAACAAACCATTTATATAAACATAGTTCATATATAAAGTCTATATATAAACTCTTAACTGGGTATAAATGGGCTCCCGAGTGGCGCAGCGGTCTAAGACACTGCATCTCAGTGCTTGAGGCGTCACTACAGACCCCCTGGTTCGATTCCAGGCTGTATCACAACCGGCCGTGATTGGGAGTCCCATAGGGCGGCGCACATTTTTATTCAACCAAAAAACGTTATTTAATCAAACAATTCCTTGTTCCCCAGACTACTGAAATACCATTTCGGCTCTACAAAAAGACTCTGCTGTTGTCATGGAGATCATGTCCTTCTCTCATTGGTTATTTTGGACATGCATGATGAGCCTTGACTTGGACCTTTTGAGCAACTAAGGGTGTATTCACTACGGAAACCATTTTAGAACCAAACAGAGCAAACGGAACAAAACGGGAAGGGACCTACCAGAATTTGTCCAATAGAAACGCTTATTTGCGTTTTCCGTTTGGAGTAAACGGTTTCTGTTGCAAAACATTTTGCAACAGAATCAGCGTGATGATTACATCCCAGGGTCCAGGGACTTGGAAATAGTGTATTTATATTTCCCATATGCCTCTGTGTGCCCATGGGCCAAACTACGGTGGCCTCAGCAGCACAATCAGGTAATAGCAGTTGTATTGTAGACATCCTTGGACTTTCTCCTTTTTTCATTGTCAGAGTGCAAGCCCTTTTTTCATTCCATACCAAAAAAATATATATATATCAACTTGAACTGGAAAATTGAGCAAGCCGGCGTGAAGAAGAACAAATCATTTCCCCAACATGGGACTAAAGTGTCTTTGTGAGTACGTAGATGTTATGTTTTACTTGAGGAGGAACCAGACAAAAACGCAGCACTTGTGAATTTTAACAACCAAATGTGGACAGACGGACCATTCATGGTGAAGGTCTCCATTGAGACGTGTTATTTATCCTCCAAAGTGTGACAAGAGTGAAGAACAACTTCCTCCTGATTTTAGCTTTCTTTCCTGGTTTCCTCGTCTGACATTGTTCTCTACTAAGATGTCAGCAAATAGCGCCCTATTATAGTGCACTACGTTTTGGTAGAACCTAAAATAAGTGCACTGTAGGGAATAGGGTGCCATTTTGGACAAAACTTATGTTTGATGGATGGACGGACTATGGTGGCACCTGAAGCCACAGCCTATTTCTCACAATTAGTTCCCCAACTAGCTAACCATCTGTGCCCGTCGTATGTCAATGACTAGATTTTTCAAATACTCTTTGACTCTCTGAATGCAATCCTCCATTCCTTACCCATACCGTTGTCATATTGAGATAACGTCTATTGTTTTATTATTTGTACGTATGTAATGATGAATTAATGGTTAAAATCAAAGACTGTACACAGAACCCATAGTCACACTTAGAGGTAGTTCACCATTTTACAACGTGATGTTGGATGGTTCCTCGTCCTGAAAGTAGTCTGTGGGCCAGGAGAAACTGTAATCCTCGGTTCAGTTTTCTTTAAACAGCCGCAAACAAACTTCACCTAATTTTAGCCACCGCCAGCTAAAAATCTATGGAAGTGATAGGTATGTGAGCATGTTTAAAAAGTAGAATGTCCAAATCACCTGAAATAAATTCTATATTTTGTTTGATGTTATTTAAAAGTGATTTGGCATTAAAAAAATTATTTAAAAAAACATGCTCACCTGCCCCCATCACTGCCATAGATTTTTTTAACTAGCGTTGGCTAAAGTTGGGAATGTCTGTTTTAATGAAAACTGAACGATGATTACAGTTTCTCCTGGCCCATAGACTACTTTCAGGGTGAGGAACCATCTAACATCAAGTTGTAAAATAATCAGCTTCTTCAATGTAAATGGTTGATTAGATCATTGAGTTATGAAGCGTTGTATTAGTGCAGTGTTCATGACACTGCAATAGTGGTACATAAGTTATAACAGTTGTTATGGAGAGAGGAGTTATAAGGAACAGTTGTTATAGGTTTGGGATTGATAGGAGTTTTGCCATCAGGGACCATGTGGTAGTAAAATAAATGTGCTGTGACGTGACGTCAACAAAACTGTAAGATCAGGACGATGCAGGACCAGTAGTCTTCTTCAGTCCCAACAGAATTTAGGGTTTGTGATTGGAGAAGAATGTATTGTACCATCAAGTTTGAGTAATATTATGTGACCCCTAGAGGGAGACACCGCCTATGAAATGTAGCAGCATAGAGCAGTAGAGAATGTTTTGTTTTCCCCCTTCATTGAATATTTGCTCAGAGCAGTACTATATAATTGCTATGCATTGACTTCAATGTCACTCTACAATTATCTTGTTGTTATTAGCATAGAATAGGTCAAAATCCTAAAGATTAGGTGAATAATTACCCTTTTCTGAGTTAATCTATATGAAATAAACCATCTCATGAAATGAATGATGTACAATGTCAACCATAATGAATTGAACGTTTTTGAAAACGGTTAGTTGAATGGCTAATCACGTGTTATTGTTTAAGCCATAATGTTTTAAATGCATTTTACATTTAAGTTTATGCACACTACACACTACACAAGCCATGGGAAACTAGACAATGATGCAATATTTTTTATTGTATTTATTAATTTTCTTCTAAGCTGTAATTTACATGTCGCACATTTGTTAGTCATATGGATACATCAATACAACACTTCTCAATTCAGAGTACGTTCACAGTCGACACACATTTCCATCTCGACATGTTCAGTCTCCATTTCGACAAGTCCATACCTCCATGCAGGATTTTGCTGTCTCAAACACCTCATTGTGTGTGACTAACCAGGGTTGGGGTCAATTCTGGTCAATTCAGAAAGCAAACCAAATTCCAATTTGAGAGAATTTGAGAATTTGATTTGGAATTTCAGTGTACTTCCTCAATTGAAATGGAATTGACCCCAACCCTGATTCAAACTGACTAGACTTTTTAAAGACGTTATTTATTGATGAAGTAAAGAAGTCGGACTCCTGTGAATAGCGGTGTCAAGGAAGTGTTGTACCTTTTGCAATGTGTTGTGGGAGCTGGGACATTTTGTTTTTTATATAAACAATTTTCCTAAATTAACTCATGTCTCATTACTTTGTTGCACAATTTACAATGTATAAAGTTAAAGGTACTTCATAAAGTCCTCATTATTAGAACTAATACACACATTCTAAACAGATCATTTATAAGTTAAAGGGTGACCAAAAGCTTGTGCTTTTTCCAAATGTGTCATTATTTATTTTGCCACCCTTTTATAATACATGACATTTGCTGATTTCTGAAGTATTATTAGGCACAGAGGTATGAAGAGGTATTGTAATGGGGGTTTATAAAAGCTTGAACTTGATTCGTTTCACCCCGAACGTGGAGCTGCGCGTGTGCGACGTAAACATGCTTGGGCGCTTCCAGCTACCCTCCGGCAGATCGCTTGCTTGCAAAACAGAACAGTGGCACGGCTCATAATGGCCGTAGATAAACTCACTTCTTTTTTTTAAATTTTTTTATTTTTTTATCATTGTTCTTATGGACAATGCCATGAGAAAATTGCATGATATAATGGGGTTAACCAATGCGTTGTATCTTGCTAGTAATTACAAGCCAACTCTCGAGTTGAATGGTTGGCAAGCTCAGCTGCTCATGCTAGCTAGCTAGCTAGATTTGACTGAGTTACAGTTCTTTATAAGGAAATATGTCAATTGAAATAAATTCACAAGGCCCTAATATGGATTTCACATGACTGGGAATACAGATACAGTGGCTTGAGAAAGTATTCACCCCCCTTGGCATTTTTCCTATTTTGTTGCCTTACAACATGGAGTTAAAATATATTTTTTGGGGGGGTTTGTATCATTTGATTTACACAACATGCCTACCACTTTGAAGATGCAAAATATGTTTTATTGTGAAACAAACAAGAAATAAGACAAGAACTTGAGCGTGCATAACTATTCACCCCACCCCAAAGTCAATAATTTGTAGAGCCACCTTTTTGCAGCAATTACAGCTGCAAGTCTCTTGGGGTATGTCTCTATAAGCTTGGCACATCTAGCTACTGGGACTTTTGCCCATTCTTCAAGGCAAAACTGCTCCAGCTCCTTCAAGTTGGATGGGTTCCGCTGGTGTACAGCAATCTTCAAGTCATACCACAGATTTTCAATTGGATTGAGGTCTGGGCTTTGACTAGGCCATTCCAAGACATTTAAATGTTTCCCCTTAAACCACTCAAGTGTTACTTTAGCAGTATGCTTAGGGTCATTGTCCTGCTGGAAGGTGAACCTCCGTCCCAGTCTCAAATCTCTGGAAGACTGAAACAGGTTTCCCTCAAGAATTTCCCTGTATTTAGCGCCATCCATCATTCCTTCAATTCTGACCAGTTTCCCAGTCCCTGCCGATGAAAAACATACCCACAGCATGATGCTGCCACCACCATGCTTCACTGTGGGGATGGTGTTCTCGGGTGATGAGAGGTGTTGGGTTTGCGCCAGACATAGCGTTATCCTTGATGGCCAAAAAGCTCAATTTTAGTATCATCTGACCAGAGTACCTTCTTCCATATGTTTGGGGAGTCTCCCACATGCCTTTTGGCGAACACCAAACGTGTTTGCTTATTTTTTTCTTTAAGCAATGGCTTTTTTCTGGCCACTCTTCCGTAAAGCCCAGCTCTGTGGAGTGTACGGCTTAATGTGGTCCTATGGACAGATACTCCATCTCCGCTGTGGAGCTTTGCAGCTCCTTCAGGGTTATCTTTGGTGTCTTTGTTGCCTCTCTGATTAATGCCCTCCTTGCCTGGTTCGTGAGTTTTGGTGGGCGGCCCTCTCTTGGCAGGTTTGTTGTGGTGCCATATTCGTTAAATTTTTTAAATAATGGATTTAATGGTGCTCTGTGGGATGTTCAAAGTTTCAGTTTTTTTTTTAATAACCCAACCCTGATCTGTACTTCTCCACAACTTTGTCCCTGACCTGTTTGGAGCGCTCCTTGGTCTTCATGGTGCCGCTTGCTTGGTGGTGCCCCTTGCTTAGTGGTGTTGCAGACTCTGGGGCCTTTCAGAACAGGTGTATATATACTGAGATCATGTGACAGATCATGTGACATTTAGATTGTACACAGGTGGACTTTATTTAACTAATTATGTGAATTCTGAAGGTAATTTGTTGCACCAGATCTTATTTAGGGGCTTCATAGCAAAGGGGGTGAATACATATGCACGCACCACTTTTCTGTTATTTATTGTTTTGAATTTTTTGAAAACAAGTTATTTTTTTCATTTCACTTCACCAATTTGGACTATTTTGTGTATGTCCATTACATGAAATCCAAATAACAGGTTGTAATGTAACAAAATAGGAAAAACGCCAAGGGGGATGAATACTTTTGCAAGGCACTGTATTTGCCCTAAAAAGTTCTGCAACATGTCTTGCAATTGCAATGTGAGGCATCCTAAATTGAGGTTTGTTCATGAGCAAGGTGTGTTTCCCATTTCAACACCTCCTCTCCTCCCCAGGTACCGTCCGGAGCCCGCCAGAGAGAGAGGTGTGGTGGGCCAGACTACAGAGACCAACAACAACCGCAGGGCAATGTCCGACTACA